CTATCTCCAAATCTCCATATTTCAACTTTGCGTTTGTTCTGCCGTCTTTGAATTATATGCATATATGGCGTATGTAATGGTCTGAAGGACTGGGCGCTTTGCGCCTTAAGTTGTTGTGGTTGCTTGTTTAATCATTTATTATGATTTAAAAATAAATATTTAATCCGTTATCTCATCAGCTATTTTCTCTATTTGAAATTGCCATAATATTTCATTCATAAATTCTAAATCACAATCAAATAGGTCAGTTATTCTAAATTTAATATTTGATAAATCTTTTGAATGAAGAATAAATGAATTCCCGGATAATTGAAACGGATATGATAAAGAAAATGTGTTTAAGTTGATGGATAAAATGTTTTGTATTGATGGGTAAGAGTTAGGGTCTAATGTTTGATGTGAAAATCTCATTGGGGTATTAACTTATCACATTTGATTAAAATGAAATTGGAACCAGTGTCAGAATACAAAACATCCCCAACATCTTTTTCAAAATTTAATATCCCAACAATGAACGAAGATGAGGAGTACAAAATTTAATTTTCAGCGGAAATTTAATAAGGTTATTTATTTCATCAAGTTCAAAAAGTTTATCAGGTTTTGATTTAAAATTTTCTTCATACCATACGATAAATGATTCATTTAAATAACTTAAAATCATGTTAATATCCCATTTCGCTATCACATTATTTATATACATATCATACGTTTTTTCAAGGTCATCTTTAATAAATGATATATAATCTGAAGGGTCTAAAAGAATGGGATTAAATTTACCACTCACAGAAACGAGAGTAACATTATAAATTCCGCTAACTGTTAAATTTAATTCACAGTTATTATTCGAAATAATATTGATAATTGACATTTTTATTACGATTAAAAATATGGTAAAGCGTTATTTTCCAGTGATAAATAAAACTAGAATAAGATTACCTCAAGAATTCATAAATTCAACGAATAAGAAATTCATTCATGTTATAAATTTTAGTGTTTTCAGAAATATGAGTCAGTGTCATATTCATCAACAGTTATATTTCACTTCATTCAAATTTAGTTCAATCAAACCCATATAATGACCATTTCATAAGATTTTCAGATGGTATTAAAATGTAATTGATAGATTAAAATATGAACAGATTGACAATATCGAATTTTTGGAATTTTGGTTTAAATATCCGATGGAAAAAAGATTGAAGTTAAAGATAAAGCTGATACTATAACAAAAACAATTACATGACCGATCCGGATAGTGGGGAACAAAAAGAAATAAAACAAACGATAGAAACTGGTGAAAGGTCAATTATTATTGATTATGATTCAAAGGATTATTATTCGATAATGTTAATGCTTGAATATTAAATAGCCTTAACAAAGAATTTTTCAAGTGATATTTTATATTCATCAACTATTTTATTATAAATATCATTATATGTTAAATGAAGTTCAGTTGTTGTTCCGTTCTTTGATATCTTAATTGTGCTAATATCCTTTATAGGATTTATTTTTGCAACTGTTCCGCAGCATGAAACCTCATCATCTATGAAAAATTGAATCTTAACGTCTGAATCTTGAACATCACAAAGAATGGCGATAATGTGAATTAATGATTCATAAGGTAAAATAATTAAACCGGATTGGTCAATTAAATTTATTATTGAATCATAATTATTAATTATTATATCACGGTAAATTTTCATTAATTCAGAATTAATGTCTATTTTATATGGGTTCTCGATGTTTGATGAAAGAGGTGGGGGTATGTTGGATAAGTGGGAATTTCAACAGGTTCTTTACCGGGTTCAGATAAAATGATTGGGTCTCCATTCTCATGGTTTTCTTCATTCTCCTCATTCTTCGGTAAGTCACGAGTTAATAAATTTGGTTGAGTTGCTGACCTTGTTAATTCAGGGCTAATATAACTTTAACATTTTGAATAATTCGTGATTTATCATCATTTACGTTATAACCAACCGTAATCTCTGCTTTTGCGTTAGTGTTCTTTTGACTAGTGAAACGTCTTCTCATTTATAATCGAATAAAAAAATATATTTAAACTTTTATTTTGCTGGAAGTTTTGAATCTATTATTCCCTGTATTTGTTCTTGAAGTTGATTTTTAGCTGGTTCATTGTAATTAAAAGACCTAATATATTCATTAATTGCATTCTTATAATCATCTGATTTCTCAAATTTTCTTTTATCTGATTCCTTAACTAAATCATAAGTTAAACCTCGTTGCTGATATAATGGTTTTTAATTAAATCTTTGAATGCTTGAGATAAAGCACCTGATGCAATTCTTGCTACTATAATTGGTTGGAATTGATGTTTAAGTTCATCTTTAACATTTGCGAAAACTGGATCGAATAAAGCAACTTTAAAGAATTTCTTAGCTGAAATTTCAGGTCTAATATTTGCATATTGACCATCAAACTGGTTAGAATATCGTGGTAATCCATCCGGTCCCTCTTCAATAGCATTTAATTCTTCATTGAAATAAGAATATGGATTATAACGGTATGAATTAATTGGACCATTTTCACCTTCTCCAATGTATTGTTTAACAGCTTTTCCATTTTCATCAAATTGCATAGGATAACGTTCATTATATGCTTTACGTTTAGGATAATCAGTTATAGTTAATTTATAAGCATTTATGACTTTAATATTACCTTGACCATCAGTAATGAAAACTTCATTTATACCATCAGGTTTTCCATTTGGACCTGTAATGTCTGCTTCGTGTGCTTCCCAATTTGGACCTTGACGTTTGGCATATGCTTGAGCTTCTGGTAATGTTAAAACGTTTCTCATTTGTTTAACATCTTTTTGAAGACCAGCAACAATATGAACTAATTCTTTCATTCCATCAGGAACTTTCATAGTTCTATTATATGCACCCTTTTTGTTTGTTCCTTGTTTTAATGGCACTTGTAGAAGATTTGCTATTTCTGTCATGTTTAATTATAAATAAAAAATAAAAATTAATTATAAAAAGTTAATCAAATTTAACACTTCCTTTATTTAAATCAACTATTATTTTTCCATGTTCACCTAATTGCTGATATTGTGTGTAAAGTTCATTAATGCTCATTGGTAAATTCACTTGATAAAGCATAACGTTCAACTGTTGACGACTAAACCCACTGAAAATGAAAAGTGTTGATAGATTTGATTTAATGTTTGTGCTTAATGCTTTGAAGTATTGAACAGCCATGAAGAATGAACACTGAATGTGTCGACATTGAGTTAATAACTGATTAAAATATGATTTCTCGTTTGTTATTAGTTTTGATTTCACCGCATCATCTAGAAAAATGAGTGAATGCAAAAATTCTCTATCAAAATTTGAAATAGAAAGTGTTTCAAATAATTCATCCCGTTGTTTATCAATAATTTTATCCTCTAATCCTTGCTTCTTGATTGTATTATATAATTCTTTATACATTAAAAAGTTTTTTAAATAATCTTCTGCTTCTTCTTGTGATAAATAAATAATTGGAATTTTGATTAAATGCTTTAAAGATTCAAATGTATCATCTGAAGGTGAACCTGAACGGTTGATATAAATTAACACATGTGAATAGGGGGAAGTGTTAGCAATAATGATAATTTGTTTTAATATCGTTAATGTTTTACCTTTATTTTGTTTACCAATTGCTGCAGTGATTGAATTTAAGTAACATTCAGAATATGGAATTTTCATTAATTTTTCCTTAGATAGAGTATTTCTATTATCACTCAATGCTTCATTAATCATATCATCTATGTATGTATTATATACTCCTGCTAATTCTTCATAAGGAGTGTATGAATTTAAATCCATTTAATCAAAAATAAATTTATAATTTTAAACATTTCTATTCATTCAATATTTCATCATATGAACTTCTATACTGTGGTGGTGTACCTGTTGGATGATATTTCAAACCTTCATCCGGTGTCCATGTCCAATATGTGTCCTAGTAAACCAAACCTGAGGAGGATTTGTCACCTTGAACAGTAAGTGTCATTTTCACCCTGAATGATTGGATAAGCTTTCACTTGTACTGTAACTTGTGAGTTGAAAGTTTTAATCCATCAAAGAATATACCCGCTCCATCACGTTGAACTGGAATAGTGCATAAGAATGAAGTTTGGTCTTTCCATGTTCTAGCTAATGGCGTGCCATCATCTGCATTCAGTGGTCTAGTTAATGAGTCCTCGTATTCTTCTGTGCATTCATTCACTCCATCTAAATCAGAAGCTTGAAGCATACGTGTAAAGAATATGTCGCCCACTGTGGTCATCGCTTGATCGGGGAAGTTTCTGGAATCTATAGTGACCTGAAGACCTCGAAGCATTGGATTTTCTAAAACTGTTCTTTGCATTGCATTCTTCGGAAATGTTAACACAACATCTGTAACATTATGAAGAGCGTATGAGAAATCTGAGCTAATACCTTCAGGAGTGATGCAACCTCCATTTAGTGAACGAACGTCAATATGTTGAGCTGGAATCATGAATGGATCTTCCTTACTGAATAAACGTGGTATTGCTTTAACTGATTCTTCAATTAAACCGTATCCTGGTGTAATGCATTTATCCTCTAAAACTTCCATCTTTTGTGCATGAAATAATAACGTCATCAACTGTTGCGTCAGCAGATGTAGCGGCTAAGCTTGTAATTAATTTGGCAGGAAGTCCGATTTGTTGGAATTTGCGATCATATTTATAAACATGATTCATAATCTTTTCATAATTTTCATCAGTTATCTTTTCATAAACGTAATTTTGTAAATCAGCAACTCTTAACGGGTCAACCTGACAAAATACTAAAGTATCCCTGAAAACATAATATTTAAGAATGATTTCACCAAATGATTTAGGATAATCATCGAACGCCTGAAATGCTAACAAATCATTTACCGGAATAATCATATCAAAAGTGACATCAACTTCTTCATTTGCTTTCTTGAAAACTTCTGAAGGGTCAATATATTTACCACATACTGAGTTATCATATTTTTTGAACATTATTATATAACGAATGAACAAACTTTTTAACTTTCCTTTCTGATTTTGGTTTATATGTTGCAAATGCGAAAGATTCACGGGCGCAATCCATCTGAAGATAACCAGCATCACCTCTTTCGGTTTCTACTTCTAATTGTTTAAAGCTTTGATTTGATGATTTGTAACCAACGAATAAACGCATGCATTTAAAAGCGGCATCACATGTGAAAGCTTTATTTGAAACTAGAGTTGCTTTAACTTTGCGTTTAATATATGTGTCACCTAATTGGTTCACATCATGAGCTGGATTTGTAATTCTTAAATGAGTTTGTTTATCATCAAAATATGGAGCATCAGAGTCATAGCATGAACTTTCAAGTTCTCTATAATATCTTCTACCATCATTCTTTGCGAATATTTCATTTATCTTTTCGAATGAATGAAACACATTTCCATTAATCGGTTTAGTGTTTGGCACTAAATAGTTAGTCGTCATTTATTAATAAATAAAAAATCAAAATTAAAAGATGAAAATGAATTTTTAATTTTAATGAAATAATCAACTATGGCTGCAGGTATATTTAAGAAACTGTGGGATAAAGTAAAAAGAGGAGCGAGTAAAGTTTGGGAAACAATGAAGAAGGGGGCAAATTGGATATTTAAGAATAAAGAAGCAATTAGTGACGTTGCTGAATCAATAACACCAAAAGCTGCCCCAATAAGAGAAGTTTTAAATAAAGGAGAAAAAGTTTATCAAAGACTACAACCGATACTAAGATAAAAATAATATTTATTTATTTTTCCACTATCTACCTCCTATTTTATTAAGTATTCCTTCAGCCATTCTACCAATTGCGTTACCTGCTTGTGCTCCCATCGCCGGATTACCTGCTTTAGTACCTAATACTCCACCTATGATAGTTCCTGCCGTTTTCGCTACTGGTGCCAAAAAGTTTGCAATGGGTTTAATAATCTTTTTATGAACCCAACCCGCAGCTTTCTTAATTCCATCCCATAATTTTTTAAAGAATCCTGCCGCCATTTCTGATTTAATATTAATTAAAAAATATATTTCATCACTTATATTCTAATTTTTATTTAATGATAAATGAAACCAATTTTGAAAATAAATGAAACAGAGGAGGAAGAAATAAATGAAAGTAAAGATGTTCAACAAAAAATAAACGTTGTTAAACCAATTACTGAAATAAAAATTTTTTCATCTGTTGAAGAATTTAATGACTATTATGCCAATAATAAAAAATTATTTGAAGAATTGACAACGTGTAAATTGAATAAAATGTTTAAAGTTGATGGATTCAAAATTTCAAAAATAAAAGGAGTGGTTAGTTTGAAATCTATTCCTCAATCAAGAATCACCTCATTAATGAAAATAGATGATTTAACAAAAAGAATAGAAGAGATTGAAGAAAGAATGAATCAAATAATTGATTTCATAAATTCAAATAATCATTAGTTTCTTAAAGTTCTATGTTGAACTCATCAAATTCTTCTTCATCATTACCATTACCTTTAGCGAGTTTATTTACTCTTTCAACTTTATCTTTTGATAGTCTTTCGTTTAATTTTTTCTGAAGTTTTTCGTTACCAAGTTCTAAAATTTTACATGGATGATATTTAAACCCTTTAAATTCTTCAAAAATAATTAATTAATCGCGGAATATCTGACATCATCTATATATAGCTTCTTTTATAAAAGATAAAAAAATAAATTATTTTAAAATTAACTTTAATTTTTTTAATGATTTATAAATAAATATATTTTAATGCATCGTCTATATATAGATGTAACAAAAAAAGTCACAAAACCCGTCATATCCTACTACTGAAATTATGAGAAACAAACAAAAATGAAAAAGATAGGAATAGCAATGAATAGTGATGTGGGTATAGAAAATGTAAGAGATATGAATGCAAAGCAATCAGTATTTAGGATATTGACCATAGATTTCGAAAAAAAAATGCTGCATATTGAGCGAAAACTATGATTATATTATAAGGCTGTCATTTAAAGCATAATGAAACTATTCCCTTTTCATTTTAATCGAATAAGATAGTAAAGATTTTTGAATTAGCTAGAAACTGATGAGATGTTTTCACAAATCAGATTTTTAATCTCTATAATGCATAATTCACTCAATATCTCAATTTTGATATTGCGAGATATTTTTGCTATCGGTTTCGCAATTTTGACACAATAGCAAGAGGGTTCTATAAGCATTATTATCAACGTAGAATCTGAATATCATATCAGAAAATGTCGCAAATCTGACATTTACCCGACCAAATAGCAAAAATAATTGAATACTTTTCGCAAAAACTTTAAAAATCGATAAAAATATGAAATATAGATATTAAAGAGACTTTTTATATAATATTCATAAAGATTTTCCAAAAATATGATACCGCAAAATTAAAAAAGTGACGTCTTGAGTGGAGTCAAAGGTCGAAATTGCTAGCTAAATGTTTTTTAGCGAAATTGCGTATTGTACGTTTTTTTCGCAAAACGAAACCCTTATTTTATTTCATTTATTTCATGAGTAGTTCGTATATACATTAGAGGCTGAGATAATGCGAATTTTGATTAAATAACTTGAATACGCAATGAATTATTATTGAAATTCATTAGCAATAGCTATTTCATATTTACAAGTTATAACATAAGCATATTTAAAATTATTATGATGTTTCAACAGTTTTTAAAAAAGAATATCAAACATATTTTTTTTAAATTGCTTGAGATGAAGCAATAACAGCATTGAAATATTCTTTTCCATATGAATTCAAATATGTGCTAACCACATAAAGTTAAAAATTAATGTCTGTTTACTCAGATCAGTCTCAATGCATTTTTAGGAGCATTGATGTTAAAAAAATTAATCAAGAATATATATCTCATGAATTATCCTATGTGTTGATATCTGCAGCATGTGAGGTTAGAACCTCTATCATTCTTTTGTTATTTTTTTCTTCTGCAATATTTAGAACTGTTTTTCCTTGATTGTCTTTTGCATTGACATCTGCGCCATGTTCAATAAGAATTTTTGCTGTTTCATCACTGTTGAATCTAGCACAAGTATGAAGTGGTGTTTCTCCTTCATCATCCTTTTCGTTGACATTAGCACCAAGTGAAATACAATGTTCGGCGATTTCGCCCGCATCACTAATTGCTGTATAATGAAGAATGGTCTTTTCATGATCATCTTTCATAGAAACATCAGCTCCATTTGAAATTAGAATTTCTGCGATTTCTTTCAGATTAATTCTTGCTGCATAATTTAAGGGTGTTCTTTGGAAATTATCTTTTGCATTGACATCTGCACCATTTGAAATAAGAAATTCTGCAATTGCCTTTGCATCTTCTTTTTCAGGACTTTTCATTCTTGGGTTGCTCATAGCTGCCAATTTGCAATCGGCGATTTTATGAAGTGCAGTCATTCCGGTATCGCATTTTGAGTTAACATCGGCACCATGTGAAGCAAGGAATATTACTAAATCCTTGTTAATTTCTTCTGTTGCAATATGCAATGGAGTCTTTTCTTTTTTATCCTTTAAATTTGGATCTGCGCCAAGTAAAATAAGCGATTTTGCTGATTCTGTAGAATTATGCAACGCTGCAATATGTAGGGCAGATTGCTCATCATTATCTTTTGCATTGATTTCGGCACCATTTGAAACAAGAAATTCTATTGTTTCTTTAGATTGAAAAACTGCAGATTCATGAAGTGGTGTTTTTCCTTCTTTATCTTTTGAATTGATATTAACACCACGTGAGATAAGAATTTCTGCAACTTCTTTGCTATTTTTAAGTGCTGAATAATGAAGAACTGTTTTTTCCTCGTTATCCTTTGCATTGATATCAGCACCATGAGCAATTAGAAGTGTTGCTGTATCTTTATTTTTATTTTCTGCAGCATAGTGCAATGGAGTTATTCCCTTGTTAGTTTTTTGATTTGCATTTGCACCAAGTGAAATCAGACGTTCTGCTATTTCTGTATTATTGTTACGAGATGCATATTGTAGAGCAGTTAATCCGTCATTATCTGTAATGTTGATTTTTGCACCATGTGAAATTAAAATTTCAAATGTTTCTTTGCTGTTTTTTTTCTGCTGCAAGGTGAAGTGCATTGCATTTAGATCTCGTTTTTGCAGAAATAAGTGCGCCATGGGAAATAAGTAATTCTACCATCTCTTTGTTATTGCGTTCAGCTGCATAAAGGAGAGCTGTTATTTCGGTACCATTAACATTTGCTCCGTGTGAAATAAGGAATTCTGCGATTTCGCAGTTATTATACATAGCGGAATAATGACGAGCTGAGCATAAATCATCAGGTGATAATTGTGAAAAGTATTCTTCGTCATTCTTGAGAATATCAATTGTCTGTGGAAAGACTCCAAACCATGGAATGATTGAAGATTTATCTTTCTCAAACATCATAAATACGGCCTTCAAGTTTTGTGAACCAATAATAGCCTCTTTACTGATGTTTTTCGGCTGAAAATCTGCATTTTCGAAAACATAATCAAGAATTTCATCATTATGACTTGAAACAATGCAATCCATTGTATAATTGTCGATTTTATTTGATTTCATGCATTCTTTAATAATGTCAGCATTGCCACCAACAATGGAGCATTGAAGACATCTTTTATCAATTTCAACTTGTAAATTTGAAGTAAGGAAATTGAATATGTTTGTGGATCCGAAATAGCAGCATGCTGCAAGCGGTGAAAGCTTTGCAAAACTTGGAAATCCACAAAATCCATGTGCTTTGAAAGGTGAAATATCTGGAATTGATATCGAAATGCTTTCAATTGAGTTTTGATTGATATATTCCTTGAATTTATCGAGTTGGTCGTGCATTATGAAATAAAAAACTTCGTTGTCCTTTGGACATGAATCATGATCAAGTTTGAATTCGAAGTTCGCATTAGGGATATTTTTCGGATCTATTAAATTCAATTCACTAGCAGCTTGTTGCAATTTCGGATCTGATAATAAGTTCTTATGGTTCACTGAATATTTGGATATGAGTTGGTTAAGAATCTTAATATATAAATCAATAAAACGATAATTAAACTGAATTGCATTGAGGATGCTTCCAAATAGTGCATGGAATGAGATCTTGTACTTGGTTACTAGAACTGATGTGATCAGATTAAATATCTCTTCATATGATTCGTTTGATTTAATGTGATAGAGTTTCTGATACGTTGCTATAAAATCATCATATTTCTTGAATAGTTCTGCAATATCTATGCCTTTGGACTCTTCACAAGTGCCTTTTTCGGAATTAGACGTTTGGGATTGATTTTCGTCCATAAAAAAATATGATTCTGATCAGAAATCTTTAAAGATAGTTTTCCTGATGGATATAAGGCCAATACAATATATCATGTTGGTATTTTTCTCAGAAGATGTTGTCAATATAAAATACCAAGTTGATCAGATATCTGGAATAAATGGATAAATAGATTGATGTCAAGACATCCCAATAAATTACTTGTTTACCAATGTCAAATCTGGTAATTTTTGGTAAACCATCCTCATTACTCATCTTTCACACCATTATGCAAACTATTGTTACTCCAAATAGACGAAGACTCGCAATTTATTGGCTCAAGAGTGAGTAATTGAATCACAGATGTGATCCCGTGTTTACCCATATGGTTTTATCTGAATCTCAAGAAATCTTATCAGATAATTTCAGTCAAACTCGAAATTTCGTCGAATTAGTATTTATCTAAAATCATTCATAAAATTTTTAATGGTACCCTAAAGACAATAGACCACTCACAGAAAAACACTTTTAAAGCTATTATATTGAGTACCTAGAGTCAAGGTGATCCATATATTCGAGCTCAATAAGATTATTTTTGTGATGTTTACGTTATCGTCTATAAGGCACCCTTAAATTTTTGTCACTTTTAAAAGTTTTTGATGGAATATAATCAACAGTTAGAAGCCAAATATTCAGATTTTTTCCAATATGTTACCGATTTTATAAATGCACATACTCCAGAACTCAAAGAAGATTTACGGCTTCTAAGAATGTATTCTGCCCCGCTCTTTCAAAAATATTTAGATATGGCAAATTTTACTAATAATATTTTTACTGTATGGAGAACTTTTAACGATACTTACTTACGATACATAAAACTATTTAAGCCAACCAAAGAAATTGTCGATAAATTTTACGAGTTACGTGAATTATTGGGAAAAGAAATACTTAAATATTATCCAGCCTACGCGAATGATATGCAAAGATTGTCAGACTTCAAAAAGCTCGTTTTGGAATTCGAGAGAACACCAGAGAAGGATAGATCTTTATATTCGAAAATATTTGGTCAATGTTACATCCCATACAAGATATGCTCCGATAAAAGATTAGAAGAAAATTGTACTCCTTTACCCGAAGACACGTATGGTAAGGTTTTTGGTTTTCTCTTAGATCTTCAGGGTCCAGTCGTTCAATTTCAATGGGAACAAGAAGAAAAAGAAATGAAAGAACAATTGAAACGCTATATAGAAGAGGACAAGAAGAAAAAGAAATTGGAAGAGAGAAGAGATTTGCAAAGTGTTGAAATTGAACCATATCATAATGATTTTGATGGTCCAATAAGAAGGTTATACCAGCCACTTGTTTAAGATAATATTGACCATTTTATTCCGGACCACCAGAATAAAATTTTCCACTGAAAAAAAATTTACCACAAGGACCATATTTGAAATGGTCTGGTTGTCAGAAAATTACGTAAAGTATGAGAAAAAACATGTAAAAAAGATGATATTAAATAAAACTATGAGTTATTTATTAATATATTATTGTTCTTTGCCCTATTATCTTGGTGAGTGTGCTGTTTAATAGTTTTTTCACACCATTAGGTAAAATGCAATTAATTGTATAAAATAACAAAGAAATAGTATTGCGCTGCTTGGTCTTGGGATATGTAGCATGCAAGAGTTTGAATTAAATCTTGCCAATAATGATTGAGCGAATAGGTTTAGAAATTGATGAAATGATGGAAACTGTTTGTAGCAAACCAACAAGCGTTAGGAGTTATAGTGGTTTTTCCTTCTCTGATCATTCAGAATCGTGATAAGGTCGTTTTTGAACGAAATGTTGACTCTGCTCTAGTGTAATGTAGTTGTGGTACTTGGTCCACAAAGAGTGAGAGATATTGTCTGCAATTTGATTATGCTGAAGTTATCTGGATATTCTGTACAGTATTCTTCCTCATGTACACTAACATGTAAGTGGAGTACGATTTGCCGCTGGATCAGTCTCTCCAGTAATTTTAGTAGTTTGAGGACGAATAGGTGGATGTTTCGGAATCTCTGCCAACTCCCTGATCGACTTGGAAATCAAATTTTCGGAATTCAGAATGTTAAAATAACCTAGAAGTTGAAAACATTATTAGTTATATACATAAAACATAAAAACTTTTTCCTTTTTTACAATAAAATTAAGCAAAAACATCAAAATGGCAAATGCAACCGCAAACACGAGATTTCTCCCATGTTTGTGTCTCGGGAACAATTCTGAACAGTTTAAATGGCTGTTCAGCCTTAACTTCCTTTTCAATTAATCTTCCAAATTCTCCTGGCGTTTCCTCGTGGCATTTATCGAGTTCTACCCATTTCTTAGCATCGGCTGATGCAATTATGCTCCATCCGTGCATTTTATTTTGAGGATCTCTCTTAATTCTGTAGCCACGAATTTGAATTGGAGTTTCCAGAGCGAGTTGTATCCAATTATCCTTTCCGGCGTATGTGAATACCTCTATTTCGCTTGCTGGATTGAAAAGAGTGTTCGGGAAGTAGTTTGTTGAAGTAATAATAACAGGAATGTTGAAAAGATGGTATTCTTCAAGCATTCTTTGGAATATTGGTCCTTGGCTATCAAAGAACTCGATTGTCTTGATAGAAAGTGTATCTGGCTCTCCAGTTTTCTCAATTCTGACAGAACTAGCTCTAAATGGCTTTAAACCAGTAGAAATAGATCTGCCGTTCTCGAGATGGTTCAAACATCTGTATACCATGGTTTCTACGCCATTCTCGTCGTAAGAAATCAATTTCCAATTTGATTTGAAGCTATCGTCGTAGGAAGTGATTTTTAAGCCTTGAATTGTAACTGGTTCCTTAAAGTCGAACTGTATAAACAATCTTTTGCTGCTCATACCGAAGAATCCCGTTGCATTATCTCCAAGACAGTAATGTATGTCGAAAGATGATCGTGAGTAGATGTATTTGTTTTCGAATAAATTCGTACGATTTTCGTTGAGAGTTTGAGCAATTCCGGCTCCGAATTTACATTCAGAAGTGATTTGTTGGGATTTGAGCTGGAGAATCTGTCTTTCTAACATGTCAATGTCGTTCTTGTAATCTTCGACTATCTTTTTCTCGGCCTTTTGAAGCTTGTCGATGTAAGCGTGAACTTTTTGAAAATCTGAACCGGGTAAGTAGAATTTTTCTGTTTCAAGAACGTTGAATATCATGTCAAATGTTGGCCTGGTCTTAGGATCTTGCGCCCAGCATTGCTCTATGAGTTCTGTGTATAATGGAGAAAATCCTTCTGGAAACTCTGGTCGATAGCCTTGAGAAACTTTCACAAAGATGCTATGACATGTTTCACCATCAAAAGGTCTCCGTAATGTCAATAGATTGTACAAAAGAATGCCATAAGCGTAAACATCGACCAATTTGTTGTAATATTTAGATGTGTATTCTTCTGGAGCCATAAAAACAGGAGTACCAACATTTACTGTCTGATCAGTAGCAGCATTGACATCTTCGACGTATTTTGACAAACCAAAATCGCAAACGAAAGGTTCTAAGTTTTCGTTGAGTAATACATTCGCTGGCTTTAAGTCTCTGTGAAGAATGTTGTTTCTGTGCAAATAACGCATAGCAGCTGCGATTCCGATCATTTGAATAGTTTTTTCTGTTGGACCCCAGTTTGGAAGCTCATCGCCTTTAATGGCTTGATTTATGTATGTGTCTAATGATTTATTTGGCATATATTCAGTAATAATTAAATGAGGCCTTGTATTGGGATCTTGTGAGAGACAACAGCCTAAAAATGGAAGGATTGATGGATAGTTGATTTTCGCCATAATTCCGACTTCTCTGAGGAAAAGTTTTGGGTCGTTAAATTGGATTTGTTTTACTGCAATGATTTTATTAGTTTTTAGATCTGTAGCTTTGTAGACAATACCAAATGAACCTTTACCAATGTCCTCCCGTTCTTTGCTGATTCGATTACGCTCGAATAAATGATTTGCTACTTCCATTTTTTTTTACTTTTTTTTTCTCACCGAAAAAATTTTTTATTGAAAAATTAACTCAATGATTGTACATAGACAACATCCGTCTGTCTCGTCTGATATAGGTATCTAAAAAACTAGTTCTGTAAAATATTTAGTTAAATTGCGATTCTCAAAAACAACATGCCTTACTCAATTATGACTGAACTTGATCTAGATGACACATGCATCGTGCTTTTATTTGCAAATGTTTGTATGGAATTATGTAAGGAGTAACGAAATTTGTTATCAATAATGTAGTTTAAAATGAGATAAGAAGGTGAATATTCATAAATATTGTATCATAATACAACACAACAAGCTCACGACTTTATTCAGTATAATTGAGAAAATTTTTTGTAAAATTCGAACAACATTCGTTAGATTATGTTGGAAAAGTATTATTTTCCTATTTAAATATTAGACGCAGTTTTTGAAATTTCCAAAATAAATTCAAATTTCTCAATTTGATAAATTTTCTAGTAATTTTACAAATAATTTTTCAATTTTTCGACTTTTTTTGAAAAAAATTTTGACAGAGCATACATTTCATAATAGGAATTTTACCTGTCTTTTTTTCATACTTAATTTTTTCAATCCTAGCCAGCTCCGATGCTCTACGGTGCTCATTATTATCCATTAAAACAGTAGAAATAGTTAATCCTGTTTCCGAAATCTTTAATACAAAATTAGTAACATATATTCCAGACGAAATAATCGAAAGTAGAACTATTTACGACATGCCAATCGATATTGGAGAAACTCAACTACGCATGAATGGAAAGTGGAGTGAAATTGATGATCACCCAGCCAAACCAGTAATTATTCCAGAGATGTTTCACAGGTTTAGAGGAACAATGACAATACTAAAGAATATCTATGTTAATCGAAATTCAGCAATCCTTTTACCAGGAAAATTTATTGTTCCTACAAATGAGACGAAGTATTATAATATGAAAGGACCGAATTGCGGTACAATTATTGCAACATATGATAATTGTGTTTGTTTTGGACATGATTCAACAAAAATCTATGCTCATTGGATGATTGATTACTTTGGCATGCTAATGCTCTTACCAAAAGAGGTAGTTGAGACATACAAACTAATCAATATCCCAGATATTCCTGGTGCGCATGAGACTCTCGACTTCTTAAATGTTCCAAAAGAAAATAGAATTCCATTTCCTTCATACTCTAACCTTTACTTCTTAAGAAGGTGCTATTACATGTATGATCCGCTCACTATGTCAAACCATTACGGATTACCTTTACAAAAAATCAGAGATTTCCTTCATAAAAAATTCCAACTCGATGGAATTGAAAAAACGAAATATTGCTGCTATCAAAGAAATGCTAGAAGACGAATAATCAATTTCGACCAAATGGTTAAGACTCTCAAAGAAAGATTCCCTGATTATAAATGGGAATGCATTGAAGATCATCAATCTTTGACTCAATGCGCAAGATATTGGGCAGCCATAAAACTCATTATCAGTGGCAATGGTTCTCATTACTTTAGATGCTTCTGCATGAACAAAGGAGCTGTTGCAGTTGAAGTTCAAGGAGTTTATCATGATTTGTCGTGTATGGGCGCACTGTTAATGTGCGGAGTTCACTGCATTACTCTGAAGAATCCAGAGTTGAATCATGCAGTTTGGTGGGGTGGTGGCTCATATAACATGGAAATCAACAAAATTGCAAAAACTGTCGAATACTTGAAACCATACTTATCTGGCGGAAAATTCCCAAACGGACCTTTAGTTTTCTAATCGTTCTTTTTCATGTGCTATAAAATAATATAGAATGAGAAAAGCAACAAAGTATCAAGTCTGCTACGATGTATCGTCTCTGAATAAGTTACTGTCAATTTGATGAAGATTGATAGTATTTGATCGAAAAAAAGTTGTAGACAACGAAAGAGTTGAAAATAGCTTCAAACAGGCTGATTAGATAAGGATTTCTATTAGCTAGAATATATTGAGTTGTTATTCTGACATATCACTGAACTAGAGAACCAACACCTTTAAGGCGTTATAGGTGCGAAAAATATGAAAATTGATGTAAAATTGGCATTCACCCTCATGAAAAAAAAAGTTGCAAAAGAATAAAAATTCGCGAATCTAAGCTTTTTTGACGTTATCCGCATTCAATGAATTTTTAATCATAAAGCATTGAATATATATACATTTAGTTATTGAATTCTTCGACTATTTTTGTGTCTAAAATAGATCGCATTTTTTGAAAATCCGAATCGGGTAAATATAACATTTCTGTTTCAAGAACGCTGAAATCATATCAAATGCGGGTTATGTCTTAGGATCTTGTGCATAGCTTTGCTGACAGTCGTCTTAACACTCGTAAATACGTAATGTATTCAAAATTATGAATGCTGTTGTCAAAATTTGATGCATCAATTTAAAATAAGCAATTATTGATAAGATTCAACGAATTTTTACATTGATTCGTGATATTGATAAATGTTTATTGTTATCGGTTGTGAAGTTCTTGTATTATTTTCCAACCATGGTTTAGAACAAAATATAATCTTAATGTATACTCAATCATTATTCTTCGAAAAAAAAGATTATCCTTTACTAATTTGATGCGAAATGGACTAAAGAAATTTGTAATCAGAAAGTATTGAAAAATGAAAAATAAATAAAAAAGGGCTTTTCCGATGGACGCACAATGTAAAATCACAATCATTTAAGATTGGATATGATTTTACATTCACACATATTTATAATCTTATTTGTAGCTACAGCTCAGGATATTTTTTAATTTCACTATTATATTTTTGAAATCATTTGTATAGATTTTCCATATTTCCATTATCATATTTCCTCAATATCATTTTAAAGGATTTAAGATGCAGGATACATTTTAAAATCTCAAATTAGATTATATATTACAGTTTCAGAGTTGAAAATTGAACATTGAAAGAACAGCCGAAGGTTCCTATACAATTAGTGGTGGAAAATTATATTCTGATTTTTCACAAAACACAAGTTTTCAAGTTGTTAATATTACTGCGAATTATAATAAAATTCCACCATATTGCTTTTATAATTGCAGTTCTTTAATATCTGTCACTATATATTCACCATTAACTAAAATTTCTTCATATGCATTTGGCTTATGTAAATCTCTCAAATCTATTTTACTTCCAGATTCGCTAGAGATTATTGGCGATGGAGCTTTTTATCAATGTAGTGGTATTGATATTTTAAATTTCTCAAAAAGACTTAATGAGATTGGAAATAGTGCATTTTATCAATGCAAAAATTTGTCTGTTTTATCAATTCAGAAAAAATTAAAAATAAAATATTTGGGAATTCAAGCATTTTATGATTGTAAAATTTCTTCAATAGTTTTTCCTGATTCCATAGAATACATTAAACAAACCGAAAATGATATTTATAATATAATATTTGATCAGACAGAAATTTTAACAAATGCGACAGAAATTTCTAACAATTTTGTATTTTATTTAAATTCGTCATATACAGTTCCACCTAATATTAAATCTATTTGTGAGCAAGCTTTCCGTTATACAAATATCACAACATTAATTGTTCCTTCAACGGTTGAAGTTATTCATTCAAGAGCATTTGAATATTCCAAAATAGTTAGTTTAACAATGGAGAGTTTATCAACTATGCTTGAAGAAGAAGTATTTGCATATTCTCATATAGAAAATACTAATCTCCCAGCAAAATTCGATGAATTTCCCAGAAGGTCCTTTTATTGTAGTTATATTACAACGTTTATTGTTCCTCGATCTATTAAAAGAATTATGAATGAAGAATTCGAATATTCTAATATAGAAACAATAACTATTTAAGGGTTTCGTTTTGCGAAAAAAACGTACAATACGCAATTTCGCTAAAAAAACATTTAGCTAGCAATTTCGACCTTTGACTCCACTCAAGACGTCACTTTTTTAATTTTGCGGTATCATATTTTTGGAAAATCTTTATGAATATTATATCAAAAGTCTCTTTAATATCTATATTTCATATTTTTATCGATTTTTAAAGTTTTTGCGAAAAGTATTCAATTATTTTTGCTATTTGGTCGGGTAAATGTCAGATTTGCGACATTTTCTGATATGATATTCAGATTCTACGTTGATAATAATGCTTATAGAACCCTCTTGCTATTGTGTCAAAATTGCGAAACCGATAGCAAAGATATCTCGCAATATCAAAATTGAGATATTGAGTGAATTATGCATTATAGAGATTAAAAATCTGATTTGTGAAAACATCTCATCAGTTTCTAGCTAATTCAAAAATCTTTACTATCTTATTCGATTAAAATGAAAAGGGAATAGTTTCATTATGCTTTAAATGACAGCATTATAATATAATCATAGTTTTCGCTCAATATGCAGCATTTTTTTTTCGAAATCTATGGTCAATATCCTAAATACTGATTGCTTTGCATTCATATCTCTTACATTTTCTATACCCACATCACTATTCATTGCTATTCCTATCTTTTTCATTTTTGTTTGTTTCTCATAATTTCTCAAAAAACATGATAACTTGATATTTGTAAATATCATACTTTATAACGTAAATAAGAACTTGACCTATTAAGAAAAGCAGTAATGAAAAGAAAATCTGAAATTCATAAAAATTACAAGTTTCTGATGACAATTAGCTTAATTAAACCAGGTACAAGATTATATAATTGTATTTTCTATCCAATTATCCATATAATATCTTATCCAGAAAAAATAACTTGATCAATACCAAATGATTTTTTAACTAGTAAATAAAGTATTTTCTTTACACACACATTGTATATCATAGTTTTTTTTTTTTTTGGTTTCGCAAAACATCCAAAAACAAATATGCTATAAAAGTGACAATTTTAGCAAAACGAAACCCTTAAACTATTCAATCAGATTCAGATTTGCTAGAGATTGGGAATAATTTCAGATCTTGCATGTTCTTAAAATACATAACAATTATTTGCAAAAATTTAATTATTTCTTGTGACTTATTCTGGCATATTAATAGTTTTAAGATTAATGCATCTTCATCGATTGTATTTACAAAATTTTCTCTTGGATATGATACAATTGAAATAATCACGCCACATGAACATTATATTAATTCAACAGTTCCTAAATACTTTAAGAATATCAATGACATTAAAAATTTGAGTTTTCAAAATTGGAAAAATTTAATAGAAATAAATGAGTCATTTTTTATCTTACAATCAAATATATTCATTCCATTTCCGGAAAATCTTACTAAAATTAATAAGCATTCTTTCAGAAATTGTGGAAATCTTACTAAAGTTATTTTGAATGAATCAATTAATCAAATACAACAGGGAGCTTTTGAAAGTTGCTCTAAATTAGAATATTTTGAAATAAGGTCGAGAAAAGAATCTTTTATTGGAGTTAATGCTTTTATATATTGTAGATCGTTGAAAATCTTCAAATATAATTCTATCAAAATTGCTTTTGATATGCCTTTTATTTCTTTTTCAGATACATCATATAGAAGTCTTTCAATAGTTACACCGAATAATCCAAGCAATATAATTTTACCATTTTTCTTTTTTAGAAACACACAGAAATCTATTACATTAGAAGAAAATATTAAAGAATTAGGTGTTGGAGCATTTGCATGTTCATCGCTCGAAACAATCGTACTCAATAATAAAATTGAGATTATCCCACCATATTGCTTTTATAACTGCATTAATCTGACAAATATCTCTAATTTTTGCTGCAGCACCATTTCTGAATATTCTTTTTGTGATTGTAAAAAGTTAAATACAATATCTAGTTATGCATTCGAGAGTTCATCTCTAAACCTTTCAATCATCGATGCCGAATATATTTGGGATTACACTTTTTCAAATACAAAGATAAGATATGTGACTTTCACAGATAATGTTTTATTTGTTGGATTCAAAGCATTCTATAATACAGTAATTTATCAACTAAATTTAGGACAATCATTGATAAAGTTTCCATCCTATATTTTCTCTAATTCTAATATTACAGAATATTCAATCCCAAATAATATCAAATATATTGAAGAGGGTTGCTTTTGTGGGTGCAAAAATCTAACAACAATTAGAAATCTCATCAATGTGGATTACATCGGTGATAGAGCATTTGAAGGTTGTACATCATTGACATTATCAAATGGATTATATTATATCGGATTTGACGCATTTTCTAACTGCAATTTAGTAACATCAATGAAAATTTCAAATCACATACAAACAATCAAAACTGGAACTTTTTTCAATTGTACATCATTATCATATTTTTTATTCCCTGAATCATTGATTTCAATTGAAGATGAAGCATTTTATAATTGCATTTCATTAGAGATAACTAGATTACCACCTTCTGTGTCGTTTATCGGGACCATGGCATTTGGAAATTGCAAAATTTTTCAATATCATTCCATTTGTAATTCTAATGTTAAATTTGAATTTGATGCATTTTCGAACTCATTCATAGAAATTATAAACATTTCTTCAGAATATATTTTTATTAATTCTTATGCAATTAGTAATTGTCCATTTTTGCATACTGTTATAATTGATGCAAATAATGGAATTATAGAACATAGTGCTTTCTATAACTGTCCAAATCTTACATTTATTGATTTTAAAAGTTCAAAACTTACTTTGTGCAGCTATTGTTTTTTCAATCTTAATATATCTTCATTTACATTTCCGAGTGGATGTATCAGTGAACCTTCAGTTTTTAAAAACTGTACTAAACTTAAAACTATTACATTTCAGAGCAATCAGAGATTCAGCCATTATTTGGATTCTATCCTCCATATTCCAGGACTTGAAAAAATATATTTTGATGACAACACATGGTCATCTTATTTATCCGATGATGATTGTGAAACACTGAAAGGAGTTGAACTATATTACACAGGACAAGAGAAAACAGATGAAAACTTTGATGATTTATTTGCATATTCTATTTATAAGAATCGCCTAAAAGTTCACGTACCATATACATATATTCTTGATACATTTTGTGATGTTGAAGTTATTCGTGAAAGAGAAACAAATGGCCGACTAATGCTTGAGAATATGGTATTTTGCTATCAAAATAGCAGAATAAATGAACCCACAGTTCTTCATGTGAGTCGAACACTTTCAATTTTCAGCCAAAACCTCATAAACGCTTTAAAATCTTAAAGAGATAATACTATTAAATGTTATCATATTAATACTATTAAATGTTATCATATTAATACTATTAAATGTTATCATATTAATACTATTAAATGTTATCCTATTAATACTATTAAATGTTATCATATTAATACTATTAAATGTTATCCTATTAATACTATTAAATGTTATCATATTAATACTATTAAATGTTATCATATTAATACTATTAAATGTTATCATATTAATACTATTAAATGTTATAATTAGAACAAACTTTTTAACATGAATAAATTCACTGATATAATTAATATAATATCTTTAACTAAAATACAAAAAATAATAACAAAATATACAATTACAATATCTTAATTACTTTGACCGCTTCTTCGAAATCCTGGAATTCGTTCATCTTCTTCATTAAACTCAGAACATCCATCTTCCTCTCTTCCATCAGTCTGGAGAAGAGTTCTCTAAGGGAGTGAGGTGGAGCAGTGACACAAAGAAGTCTACGAACTATTTCTATCAAAATAATCTCTCTCAAATCATCAGAAACTCTTTCAAAAAGTGCCAAAACTAATTCCATTGCGAATCTCGTGTGGCAGTTGTTGTATCTGACATGATCCAAGAGAGAAGAGAAGAAATAGATCGGAGAGACAGGAACAAGCATGGTTAAGAGCTCCAAAACCATGTTTGTCTTGGAAAATCTTTCATGAGAAATTGTCCACGTCTGAATAACAAACAGAACAAATTTCCAGAGTAATGAAACATCTTTCGAAATGATTTTCTTGAAAATTTCGTAAATTTGTTTCATCATCGAAGATTGAACCGTAGTAACTCTGTCCATGATGATCGCTTCTGTCTTAGACTTCAGAATACGTAGTTCTTGAGTGTCCCCAGGTATAACTGATACTGGAGGAGGAAGCATTGGATCAAAATTCGGAGGAATTGAGGATAAAATGATGTTTCGGAGCTGGATGAACCTCGGAGGGACACTTTCAAGGATAATGAGATGGAAGGAAACAACAAATTCCGGATAACTGTCGCATATTGTCGTAATAATTCTGGCAACAGGGCGATAGAAGCCATCTGGGAAGTTAATTGCGAGTTTGATGATGCATATGATGAATCTAAGGCAGAAATTGACGCATTCGAGGTCAGCTGATTCGATCATTGCTCCAAAAACTTTCGGATGGAGAACTAACTGGATCCAGGATGTTACGAAGTCTGGGATCTTTCCAGGTGATGTCTTTGTGAGGAAAGGAATCAATCTGTTCGGACTAAAATCTCCGATACATGAAAAAATTTCATGGCAAACGCAAACAATTCCTAATTGATGGGATACAATCGTTGAGGAATTAATTTGGTCCATTGTTCGGAGGAGACCATTCAAGATTACATCATTTGACACTTTTTCGAGAATTGAGGGAATTAAAGCGATGAAGCATTCTATGGCAGAATAGTCCTTGTTATCTTCTCTGACGCTTCCGATAAGGATCTGGATGATGGCAGCTATCTGCATGGCCGTTCCCGTACCAAATTTGTTGAGGAAATCTTTACGAGTATCATCATCAGGCTGTTTACAGAAGAGTAGGAAGGCTCTGAGCACGGAAATGTTCGATCTATCTACAGAAGGCAAGTCTGTCTTGGAATTGGTCGGTCTCATGCCTGTTAATGCGTACAAAGAAGTGAAATTCGCTCTGGGATATAAACGTTGGAGCTTGAAAATGTGGGGCATCATTCTTCTGATCATGGGAAGTGCAATTGGACCTGTCTGAGGATTAGTTAATATGTCTGAATACAAAGTATTGATATCTTGAGGGGAAATACAGCTATGTTTGATGAGCGCTGTGAGCATATTGTAATTAGGAAACGCATAGCGTAGTTTTTCTGGTGCTAATTTGAACGGAGGATAAACTAATTTTGCTAATATTCTACAGGCTGTTCCTGATAGGACAGAATTGTTCGAAAGCCCCATAAGTATGGCGCAGTCGATCAATGTGTTATGGAGACCGCCTGTTCTTGGCTCTGGAAGACAAATTGAATTTCCTCGGCCGACGAAGTAATATTTCCTTACAAAACTTGCTGTCCTTATTACCTCCTGCATGTACTGAGGGAATTTCTCTGGGTTAGGAGCGAAATCGAAGAAGTTATCCACTCTTTCTTGAGAATTTGAGACAATTGCGTCTTTTTGGTACGGACCAAGGAAGTAAAGTTGGTTTTTCGGATCCAGCTGGAAGACACAATGTAAATCAAAGGAAGTGGGATCAACTTCTATCGTTCTTGTGAGGAATATAGAAATATCAGTTCCAATTAAGGCCGCAAAAGCCTGGACTGACTGGTAAACGTCAAGTCTGACACCAGGCTGATTGATAAATGCGGCCATTACTTGTAAAAAGCTGACAGTATATGGACAAGGCAATTGGTATATGGAAGAAGCCCTGGAAAAATATCCAGCGAGTAGTATGACTGCTTCGTTGAAGCATCCGAGCTTAATTGAGTCTCTAAGTATCTTGTAAAGATCGATATAGTAAATAGGGGGCGGCGGACCTTGAGAAATGGAAAGCAAGCCAATCCACATACCAATCTGATGTAGTTGTGCATGAACGGAGTACCTTTCCCATCCGATTTTTGACTTTCCATCTGAAATTGCATTTGAAAGTAAATGTTTTGCATAAGCGCATACGGCTTCGAGAAGTACGGACGGAGGGCTGAGTATTGAATCGGGAATTTGTGTGTTTAATACGTAAGAAATCAAGTAATGTCGGCGATGTTCTTCTGGCATCAAATAGGAAGCCTGCACGCACTCTTCAAGTGTAAGTTTGAGAGGAGGCTCGCTTATTGATTTGGTAATTGGCGGCAAATCGAGATGCAAATTCTGAGTTAATGGAATTATTCCGATTGGACTAGGAATAGAAAATTGATTTTTAGGTTGGAAGCCTTCTAACGGTATAGCATTTTCGAACGTTTGATTTATTAATATGAATAAATCGGAATGTCGAAACCGAAATCCTGGAATTGCAATAACATCTTCCAGAAAACTTAAATAACGATATCCAACCGGGATAACTTCGTTTAGAAATGCAATACAACATTGCTCTCCGTAAAACGTATTCTTATTTTGCAATAAAACACTCATATAAAGTTGAAGAGTTGGTGCTTGAATCAAATTGTTAATTGCAAACCATCCAATGATGGATGCATATTCAGGTGTTGGAGGTCTTTCGAGAAGAATTCTGAGTAAACATGCTAATTCGAGTTTTCTTCCTGAAATTAAGTCATCGAGACACAATTGATATATTTCCTGTAGCGGACGTGATAATATATGCTTACAGCTGTTTATCATTTCTGGAGTGAAATCTCTCGCGGATGAAGTTGGAAAGAGAATTTTCGACATCCAGAAAGGAAAACTGACAAATAAATAAGAGGGGTACAACTATTAGAAAAATCGACAATTTAACTTTACAAATGTAAATACAAAAACGTCAAATTTCTTAAAATTACCACCATCTTAAAAAAATCTATGATTTACTTTTTTTTAAATTACCACCAAATTAATATAAAATGAGCGAAGAGATTGTTCCAGATTTTGAATACATTATAGCCCATGTCAAAGATTACATTGAAGAAGGCATGTTCTTTAACATATTCAGGCTCGAAGATATCAAAGTTATACTTAAAAATTCAACATTAACTACTGATGAGTTCGATTATCTTCTCAAACAATCTACTTCAACAATCAGTGCAGAGAATTTATATTTGTGCATTCAAAAAGCAAACGTTTCTATCCAAAGCACTGAAGATGTAGTCTCTGTTCTGAGATCATTAAAAAAGTGCATGAAACTCAAAATGTTTAACGGCATTATTAACTTTTTAGTTCATAAAAAGAAAGAGATATTTAATTCTACAGAGAAAATCAAAAATCTTCAAAAAGAGTTAAATGAAATTCGAAATCAAAAACAAAAAAGTGACGATGAGATAAAATCACTTCAATCTCAACTCAATCTTATTAATGATGCAAATGGTCAGAGAGAAATTCTATCAAAAATCACAGAACTTAAGAATTCCAATGATTTTGAGCTTGTTTACAATTTTCTCGATGAACTTTCTCAAATATTTTTTTCAAAAGCAGTAGAAGAAGGACTTTGGAAAAAGATAAATCACAATGGTGATAATGTACTTCATGTTGCAAGTCAAAAAGGAAATCTTAGACTTGTTAAATCTCTTATTTTCTGTGGCTGTGATAAAGAAGCAAAGACTAAAAATGGAAAAACTCCACTCATTTATGCATCAGAAAAAGGTCATTTTGAAGTTGTTCAATATCTAATCTCTGTTGGAGCTAATAAAGAAGCAAAGAATACTTTTGGATATACTCCACTCATTTATGCATCATATAATGGTCATCTTGAAGTTGTTCAATATCTTATCTCTGTTGGAGCTAATAAAGAAGCAAAGAATACTTTTGGATATACTGCACTCACTTCTGCATCATCTAATGGTCATCTTGAAGTCCTTCAATATCTTATCTCTGTTGGAGCTGATAAAGAAGCAAAGACTAAAAATGAACAAATATCACTCATTTCTGCTTCAAAAAATGTAAACTTAACATTATTAAATATCTTATCTCTGTTGGAGCTGATAAAGAAGCAAAGACTAAAGATGAATATACTCCACTCATTTATGCATCATATAATGGTAAACTTGAAGTCGTTCAATATCTTATCTCGATTGGAGCTGATAAAGAAGCAAAGAATAATGGTGGATATACTCCACTCATTTATGCATCATATAATGGTAAACTTGAAGTCGTTCAATATCTTATCTCGATTGGAGCTGATAAAGAAGCAAAGAATAATGGTGGATATACTCCACTCATTTATGCATCATATAATGGTAAACTTGAAGTCGTTCAATATCTTATCTCGATTGGAGCTGATAAAGAAGCAAAAACAAATGATGGAAAATCTGTCATGGATGTTACTTCAAGTTCTGTGAGAAAATATTTATCATCAATTTGATTTAATGGTTCATAATTGAAGTTTTTTTCCTTCATAAAAATATTTGGTCTTGGCTCTCTCATTATGATATTTAGAATTGGTATCTGATTTAGATATTAGATTCATAGTTAGTTTGAACTACACTTATAACGTCATCTAGTTTTTAAATAGACATATAAATCGCTGCATTGCATTTGGTTGTTGTTTTTCTATAATGTAGTATATCTATTAACAAGTATAAAGAGCAATTCTTTCATGTTTTTGATCTTTATCAAATTCTTCTTTTTCGGTTAATGTGATGAATCTCTATAAGTCATTATACACAATTTCTCTGTAAATTGTATTTTCTGTATGAATATTGAGATTTTCTAATTGAATTGTTTCGAAATTATCCAATTTATTTACTTTATTTCCATATTCTTTATAAATTAGGTATCTAACAGTTAATGGAACACTGATTTCTTCGTTTGCTTGATAATTATCATATATGAGTATGACAAGAGAAAAATAAGGTCTTGTATAGGGATTATTGAATGGTACGATATCTAATATGCCATTTATAATACTATAAGGAAGACGTTTCTTTGAATCAATCAATTCTGTTTTGAAATTGCTTTCATTCAATGAAAATATAATATTCTTACGCATCATTCAATATGTGCACATATTTATATTGTCAGTTCCATCTTAAACTCTTCTGCTAGTAAAATATCGATACCAGAATTCTCCTCAAATAATTGGATAAAAAAACGGATTTTTATTTGGAAATGGAAATCGCTTTCAAACGGCAAGGCTTGTCATTGGAAGTGATAAATCCAGATGAAATCCCGGAAGATGCAACGTTTATAGACTTATCAAATAACAATTTCTTATCAATTCCACCAGAAACTTTTATATCAAAAACAAAAGTTTTCAAATTCAGTATTGCAAATAATATTCTCACTGATTTATCGTTTTTAAGATGTTTTGAAGCACTTGTATCACTTGATATAAGCTCAAATCAATTAGAAATCGATGAATTACTTCAAATTCGTCATATTTACATTATATTCCTAAATGCGCAAAAGAATTCATTCGTAGACAAACTAAAAGATAATCCGTTAACACTTATTATTATATTAAAACGTGCATGGATCATCAATGGTACATTTGTGACAGATTATGCCCGACAAATTGCAAAACAGTACAAGAAAACTCTTGAATTTGGTGAGTCAATTCTAAATGCTCGGCGAGAAAAGCTTTCTGAGCATAATACAGCTTCGACCACTCAAGCAGCGAAGCATTTCCTTATTGGAACGTCATTTAAGTTTCAAGAACCAGGTAAATTCATAACTCCTAGTGGAAGATACGTCAAAGATTTAGCAAATCGTCCACAAATAGAAAAATTAAAATATTTACATCAAAATTATCCAATAGATGTACCTACTGGAACCTTCTCTGACTACTTTGCGATAATTTTAGGCATTCTATCCTATCAATGGATGAATGTTCCAATAAGTACAATTCCAAGACTTTTATCTCGAGGATTTTGGGGTACAATATCATCAGAAATCTCTGATTTAGAGGAATGGAGATTGTGGGTATTATTGTACCACCTTTCCCAGCAAATGTGCAATGGTCTTGCCATTGAAAATGAACTTTGGCAAGCATTGAAGGTTATTAACTATATTAAGACAGGAGTTCAGCCAACAATCGGATCAATACCACGTCTTATTGTCGCCGCATTCCTATTTAGAGCAATGGATCCGTCAGAACTCCAAGATTGCAAAGATATAATTATTTATCAAAATTTAAGGCAAAAATGTAATTTTACTTCACTTGATGAGAGTCTTGAGACCATTCATAAAGAAATATTAGGTAATTTGCCAGTTCCTGACAAACATCCCGAAAAAGGTGAAACAATTGCAGTTATTCATCCACTAACGAAGAAATGGATTAACTGCAAAGCATCTTATATATCTAATGGCCGCATTTTCGCTCAACTTCCAACAATTATTTTACATTTACCGCTAAATTGCTTATTTTGGGACGGAAGAGGAGTATGGCGTCAAATGGATACCGTTGATAAAGGAATTCGACCAAAAACTCCTACAGCTCGTCCAAAATCTGCAATTGTTCCAAGATTATCGGAACAAGCGAGGAATGCTTTCATAACTGCGAGCAAAACCGACCAAAATGCAATTGCTAGTACAATTGCCAATGACTTCCATGTCCCAATTTCGCTTGTTGACACAAGCCGAACAAGAATTGCTCCATCTGACTCTTCCAAAGAGATAAAAAAAGTTGTTTTGCCTGTATTTCAAACAATGGCAAGACCAGAACCAGTTAAAACTACAGCTCCTCAGCCAAAAACGATGCCTCGAGATTTTCGAGGAATTGTTGATCCTTATTGTCCGAAAACACCAATTGTTCATCGAAAAACACCTTCAAGACCAACGAACCAAGTCATCCAGAACGTTGTAAATGTTTGCCTTGGCCATGAATTGAGAAATGGAACGCATTTGCGAAAATTCCACGCGAAAGTCTACAACGAACTGACCAAAAAGGTTAAATATGTCTGGATTAATGAAGATGAAATTAGTCCGGCTGATGTTGATAATCTTTGCGCATTATATCGCTCTCACATCCAGAAAAAGATGGATGTTATCCATGATATTTTTTAAATGTTTGTTTGTATCTTTTTTTTATGGTTATGGTTTTCCTCTCATTTTTTTTCTGATCGGAGCAGTGATCTCTTTATACTGTTTACCATGAAATTTGTATTTAAGATGATTCTACATCTAAGATTATATATTTCATAATATTGATCGCTAATTCTTTGTCTTTAAATTTTCAAGCAAGTTTATGAAAAGATGACGAGTAGGTGACAAAAGTGCATACTCTTAAACAACCATCGGATTTCCGGGTGAAATCGTGACACACTTTCGTCTTTCGTAGGCAGTGGTGGTTGTTACAAAAGGTAACTTCGAATGTAGCGTGAAATCTGCAAAAAAAATTCTGAAATTTGAATGGAGAACACAAAAATTGAATAGTTTACGTCAATAAAAAAGAGAAAAATGAAGCCAATGTGTCTCGAACCTAGGACTTAGATAAGCAATCCCACTGTTTATCACATTACACTACATGCATCTCTCACCTTAGTCAATGAGATCAACTATATGATAACTTTTTCCCCATTATATTCTTGTGGAAAAGTGACAAATAGCAACTTTGACCCTCTCTCAAAAGATGACGAGTAGGTGACAAAAGTGCATACTCTTAAATTAACCTTAAATGTTTATTTTTCGATATTTTCGGTATTAACCTTATTGTAAATTTTTCCGGTGATAAATTTATCACACTGAGGTTATTTTTCCGGTGAGATTTTTAACCTTGATTTAATGAAATTAATATATATAAATTTTATTATTTTTAATTTCGAATGAGTATAATAAAATATTTTTTTATATCGTCATAACTCTCATCACTGTTGTGATTCCAAATGCGATTATTAAGGTTCAAGTCGCTAATGTTTTGAATGAAGATAGAGCAGTAAGAATTCTTACAAGGGCAGGTAATCAGATTGTTGAGCAAAGAGCTTCAAAACACGATGAATGTTTGAAATTAATTCAACACATTTTGGAAATTGTCGAAAGCCGAAGGATTGAACCTAATGTCCTTATTCCATCTTTGAAGACAATATTAAATTTGGCACAAAGAAGTTTAAAGGAAGAGTAAGCAAGATTAGATAATTTGGACTTTTTTTAAAATTAATGAATAAACAGTATATTTTTGAAGTGTAAGCTTATTTACCTGAAGCTATATTACTTAATATAACATTCAAAGTATTATTGCTATTTATTGGAGAACAAATTTATGTAATTTTCACATGAAAATTGATAAATTTGTATTTCCTTATGATAATCAATTTTTGTATTTGTAGAGAGTCTCCCTGCATGATATCAAGACTTGGCTATTGGTCTTTATCCATTTTTGAAAATTGTATTGTAAATTGTAAGAATTTCTGAATACTACTACTATAAAATATAATTGCTTATCAATGTATATTCTCCCTGCATGATATCAAGACTTGGCTATAAGTCTTTATCCATTTTTGAAAATTGTATTGTAAATTGTAAGAATTTCTGAATACTACTACTATAAAATATAATTGCTTATCAATGTATATTCTCCCTGCATGATATCAAGACTTGGCTATAAGTCTCTATTCATTATGAGTATGACCCCATTTTTTTTTACAAAAAGTGCCGAATTGCAACTTTGTCCCAATCTCAAAAGATGACTTTTCACTCAAACTTTCGATAATCATTGAATAGTTGTAAACTACGACATTAATGTCTGATCTTATGGATACTACGAGCAAATATGATGAATTGAGAGGCACCTATAAATATTATATCGATTTATATATTGCGTTGTTTCATCTAAAAACTGAAAAAGAAGAAGAATTAATTTCAATTTACAAACTGATCAAAACAGAATTGATTGATTCAACAAAATATCTTCCAAAATATATTATGAGAGATATTTTGAGAGTCATTCTGTATAATAATCGTTATGCAAAGTCATATTTGTTTCTGGCGAAACTAATTTATGATGATTATCATGTTTCAGAGGTCGACAATATTCCATTCATATCTAACTATCTGTTTAATGAAGAATATCAGATTAAATTAGATAAGTCTCAATATATCAGAGATAATATAGATGGATTTCTCGATATTCATACAGAAAATACTATTTACAGAGCAATTATGCTTAATGATGTAGAAAATTTCATCTTCTTCACCGAAAGAGAAGGATTTAATAAGTATCAAAACCTTCAGAGCTGTTTATATCCATTTTCTAATTTTGGACATTCATTACCTGAATTATGTTGTTACCATGGAGCTGTTGATTGTTTCAAGCTTTTAAGAACGAAATTCAACTCAAGAATAACACCAAAATGTCTCGAATTTTCATTTTTAGGAGGAAATCAAGAGATAATGAGTGAATGTTTGAAATATCAGGAACCAGATGAAGAATGCATGAAGTATGCAATTCTTTCACACAACATTGATTTTGTTACATTCTTGATGAATGAATACGAAATTCAAGTTAGTATACCTAAGTCGTGTACAGAGGCACTGCGCGCCTCCATACACCACTTAGCTGTTTTGACACTTTACAAAACTGGTAACGTATATTTTACAATACAACCATAACACCAACTTAACCTTAAATATTTACAAAACCGTCTGACACATAAACGACTTCACTAATGAATTCACTAATGAATTCACTAATGAATTCACTAACGACTTCACTAACGACTTCACTAACGACTTCACTAACGACTTCACTAATGAAAAAATAAACGTTTTCACAAACGACTTCACTACTGTAAAAAATAAACGTTCTCACTTACAAAAGTATTGCAACTCTTCCCATTGCTGTGCTTCACACAATAGTTCATATTCTTCAGTATCGCTGCTGTCGCTCCAATCGTCAGAGTCAAAATCACTGTCAAAATAAATGTTAGTAAGTTTTGACAAAGCTAATGAAACACGCTTACCGTTTGTATCGTATGCTTGTATAAACTTTCCATTCTTCATTCCTTCATAAACGCTCAAACTAACTTTACCCTTTCTCCCTCGTATCTGATAGAATGTATTTTCACGAGGAACGAAGAACAAATTCTTGAACTCATGACCGTTGTAGTTTGTTATCTCAATAGTTTTCGTCATTTATATAAAAATAAAATAAAAAATAAAATAAAAAATTAATGATATCACCACCCTCACACGTATGAAAACATAGCACAAAAATAAATTTAGGTGAAGTGGTGAGATCTCACCTCTTTTTTCACCCTGTTGAATTCATTGCTTTATAACTCTCTTCCTTTCTCCAACTCTTCTAGCTTCTTCCTAAGTTCAGCAATGTTGTCCTCATGAAGTTTAATCTTTCTCAAAATTCCTTCTTTATCTAATGGTTGCTTTATCTTTCTAAACTGAACTCTACCATCTTTCATAGTATGAATGTAAAAACCTTCTGGAATAGTTCCTGATTTAATGTATTCTACCAAAAACTTTTGTTTCATTGCTTCAGTGACTTTATTTGTCATTTCAATCAAATAAAAATTTTAATATTAAATAAAAATAACGTTATTTTTTCAGTAAGGAAACGCAGGAGTTTTACGATTTATTTGCGGAGTAGGTTCTGGTTTAAATGTTGGAGTCGGTTTTGGAGTTGACTTTTGAACAGGAGTTTGTACTTCCATAGGTTCAGGAGTCATTGAAGGTTTTGCTTGTGAAGGTGTTGGAGTTTGTTTAACTTCAGCTACTTCAGTATTATTTACAACATTTGCTTTATTTCTTTTCAACATCATAACTGCTCCTGCTGTAGCTAGCAAACCTAGTGGGAGACCATATCTTATATAAGGACTTGACCAAATGCTATTTTTGACAGGAGCTGGTGGAACACCTAACCTTGGTGAGACTGCTCTTTGCCATTGTGCAGCTCGTAAGAAATATTCAATAGGTGCTCCATAATCGTTTGGTAAAGTTTGTTTCATAGATGGTGAAGGTTCACGAGAGCTTAATGAAGAACTCATTTATAAGCTTTAAAAATAAACGTTCATCCTTTATTCCTCACTGTCGTCCGTAGCTAAGTTATAGTCATCTAATCTTATTATTGGGATTCCATTAGCACGCACCTGAATGGCAAAGCAACAATCCCTCATAAATCCAATAAGTGGCTTTGGTACATTTTCAGTTGCTAGTTCAATAGGTCCTTTAACAGACAATTTGTATGTTATTGGAGCAGTAGATGTTTGACCTTGCTGGAAGCAAAAGTCCACTTCTGTTGGAAAACCACATAAGAAATGTGTGTTGTCATAGCTATCCCATTTATGTTCCACACTACCATCATCCACCAATGACCTCATAACATCTTCATTAAATCCTATCATATCATTGTTTGTATTGCAGGCGTTCGCAACCATTTCATAAAATACAGGTCCATATGATTTTTCAGGTTCTGCAGGCATATTTCCATAAGCTCCCATAGAAAGCTGAAGATATTTAAACTTAGGGTTCTCAAAATTAACATAATAGTTGTCTTTCTTTCTAAATAGTGCCCAAATACTTTTAACATTAATAGGCGTATAAGCTGCTGTAAATGTTGCACTTGAACTATCTGTATTCTTTGAGAATGAACCGTCCATAGGAATCCAATCCATAACTTTAACAGGAAAACATAAAGCCTCGTTTGTATAATGTTCTACAAGTTCTGTATAAATGTTAGGGTCTAAAGAGAATGACTTTGGATGAATGAAACATTCATTAAAATCCATCTTTGTTCGAAATAGTTGCTGGGTTACAGTTGTAATAGTAACTGTTCCACTAGCTTCTACTGCCTTCGTTATCATAGTGAATGGTTCATTCCATGGAACAAATTTATTTGTCGGTGGATTTGAATCTGAAGCAAATGCAACTTTAAGAGTTGGATTGAAAGCAATGATATCATTTACAGATATAGATGTGCATTGTAATGCGTCGCTACTGAACTTTACTTTAAGCTGAATGTTACCAGCAAATGCAGGAATAAATCTTATAGCTTCTAATGGTAAAAACTTTCTAACAGGAATTCTTAAACGAAGCTTAAAATCAAATGATTTTCCTGCTGTAATTGGACCACTAACAATTTGTCCTGTTCTGCATGTTCCCGAATGACTCCATACATCTTCATGTCGAGTCTTTGAGAAAACATCTACTTTCTTTATTTGTTCGGTAGTTTGTGAGTTTGAAGTTATATATGCTTCTTCTCTTGCGTTGTCTTGAGAATATACGATACGACCATTTGCAAGGATTTGATATCCAGCAACTGCATAGAAAGCGTCATCGAAACCAATCCAAAATCCTGGTGGGTTTGTTTTATTGGAACCTGAACCAATTTCTTTATCTGCAATAAATTGACCTTCCATTTTATACGTAATGAATGTATTGTAAAGGTCCAACATATTTTCACCAGGAGGTGAGAGATTGAATGTTACCCATGTGTTATCTTTAGCAGTTCCAGGTTGTGATGGAATCTTTGCGTCAGAATATTTTCTATTAGTGTCACCAATTTGAACTGCATTGTCTATGATATCGAAATATGAGCGAATCTGATGAATATGCTCTGCTGGAGTAAATTCGTTTAACTGTTCGTTCTGCATGTATTTACTTCGGATAAAAATATCTATTTACTTCATTATTCTCACTCTTCTTCTTGGAATTCGTGGTGGAAGTTGTTTCTTGACATTTTCAATGAACTGTACATTCTCTTTTCTCTCAACTTCTTTCACTGGTGGGTCAGGGTTCTTTGACTCGGTTTGTTTTTCAATGAAATTCACGAACTTTGCAATAAGCTCTTGGTTCGTTATTGAAAGTACATCTGGCTTCTTTTCTTCTGGTTCTTTTGGTGGCTCAGTTTGAACAGAAGGTTTTATATGGGCTTCGTGGACTTCACCCTTGCCATACACCTTAATGTTGTCGCTTTCTGCATTCGCTAATGGTACCTTTCTTTTTCTTACGTATATTTTACCATCTTTACTCTGACTTACGTAATAGAAAGGATGTTGTATTCCTCTTGCGTCATTTAATATAATAGACTCTCGCTCTGATTTTGACAAGCTCATTTTACATTGGTTAAAGTTTCAATTTTGTTTTTTTATCTGCAGTCAAATGACTCAGACAAGCCCTACGGACAAGACCCAAGGGGTCATAGATGTTGAAGCATTGAAGAAAGAAATTCGCGAGCAAATTTTATCCGAACTGAAGGAACAAAAACAAGAACAAAAGCCAGAGAGACCAAAGAGAAAACTTAGTGAAAAACAACTTGCTGCATTAGCTGCTGGAAGACAAAAGAACCCACGTTTGCTGGCAAAGAAAGCTAGAGAAGAAGCAAAAGCAAAGGAAGAACAAAAAGCTAAAGAAGCTGAAGCAAAGAAAGAGTAAATGGTTTATTTTTATCCGAATTAAATGTATAGACAAATACCTTTAACTGTTGCGTTCAGTAGTGAAAACCCTGACGTCAAAATAAAGGGGAACAGAGTAACGTTTAAGTTTCCAACAGACTGGATTGTGAACATAAATGAAGAGAAGTACATTGGCATAACATCTATGTATATAACACGTGCTTTCAGAAAGGTTGACTTTATACTTCAAGTCGAGATAGAAAATGACGAACAGTCTTTAAGCGCCCAAAACATTCACATATACAAATACTTTAAAGACGATACAACATTGTTGCAATGTATGATTTCATTTAATGAGATGTTCGAGAAAAAGTTTAACATTGAAGTACAAACTTTACAGCCTTTACATGAGTTTCTTGCACAACTGAAGGAAGAAGGTAGTCGGCCACAACTTATAGACTTTCATTATGAATTTAATGAAAATGAAGATGGAACTCATGACTGTCAATTCATTGTATTCTCACCATTCAATGAAGTAGCTAAAGAGAAAGAAAATCCATTACGTATAAGATTTCAAATCTCTGAACCAAGTGATGATTTCAAGAATGTTTTCAATTATGATGCAATGCTTCCGAGGAAAAATGAATTTTCAAAGATTGTAACACCTGGCATTTGGGATAGAAAGCAAGCTATATTATATTCAAACTTAAGTAAGGGAGTTGAAAATGAGTTCATTGGTCATACACGAACTTCACCACTTCCTAACCCTAAATACTATCAATTAACTGGCTTCAATCGTGAGTTTTGGATAGACATGTTCTCCACTCATGACCATAACTGCCCAGTGTTCTTACCTCCAGACCATAAGGACTGTCTCTACATTGAAGCACAACTCTTAAACTCTACCATCGCAGTATTGTAAAATCTACGCTAGCTTTATTTTTATCACGAATGACCTCATTTCTGACAAAAATAAATGACCTCATTCATGACCTCATTGCTGACCTCATTCATGACCTCATTGCTGACAAAAATAAATGACCTCAGAACTTCAACTTACGAATAAAGCTTGTTTTAGTCGTTATTGAGAAGTTAAACTTCTCTTCAAAGCAAGGTTGACATGACTTACATAAGTCAAATCCAATCTCTTGACCATCATGAAGTGCTTTGTAAAGTTTCATTAAACTGAACTCAGAGTCTTTGTCATATGTTCCAACAGGTATGTGAATGTTCTTATCTTCATTGTAATAGCATTGTATAGCTTCAGGAAACATTTCATTAGCTGTTAAAGCAAGAACGTCTTGTTTTACACCTTTACAACGTGCATGGAATGCAACTTCATTTAAATCATTCGTGAGTAAGTCTATGTAAGTCTTCTTTCCACAAAATATTGACTTGTATGCTAAACTTTGTTTATCTTTTGTGATTTCTGCAAAGTCAGAATGGAACTGACCTAATGTTTTACCAATAAGTTCTCTACCGTATCTCTTCTTAAACTCTGCTGCAAGCTTTGGTATGTCTTCATTGAAAATATGCATGCTATCGCAGTCCTGGTAAAATATTTGAAGGCCCATGTCCTCAGCAGTACAGAATACTTCACACATTATTCTCTTCGACATAGACAGAATGTTAACACCAAGTGGACAGAAGTTAAAGTGTCTGCAAATGCTTTTCGTTAGCTTGAAAATAGTTTTATCTGAACCATCCAAACCTTCGAACTTCACTATATGGTTGTAGTTTCTGATGGCATATCTTATAGCATCTTTGTCATCTACTATGGTTATTTTTGACTCAATAGGAGATAGAATAGTTTTGCCATAAATACTGTTCAGAATGAGCTTTATATTTTCTTGCAAAGGATTTCCTTCTTTCTTATACTTTAACCTTAACTCAAACAACTTCTTTACTTCATCTCTTATTCTAATATCTCTGTTTCCATCGTAGTAATATCCTTGCAACACTTCACATTTGACACCTTGATATTTTATAAGGTCTTGTAATGTTATATGGTCAACATACATGAGACAGCAAGAGTTTGAACTTCTGGGAACGTTAAGTTCTGGATTTAGTTCAGGGTCACAAACTATTAAAGGAAAGTGTCTATGTATTCTAATCTCTGTTATCTTAATGAGAACAAAGAAGCCAGACATAAACTTTTCACCAATGGGTTCCTTTTGGTCGTCATCGAATAAATGCTTTAACAAATATTCAGAACTTAACATCTCATCCTTCAATACTTTTGGAATTCCTTCTAAAGTATAAAGTCTTGCTATAGCGGATGGATATAATGAAACAGCGTCGAAGTCAGCAATGAGTTTCTTTTCGCTCTTTTGTTTCATGTTATCTGACAACATACATCTTCCACCTTGAATGCATCTCGAAATAAATTCTCTTGGTTTATTTGAGAGGTCATAAAGATTTCCATTCGGGAAGTACACTCTGTTCTCAAACAATTTGTTAGCAATTGAACAAATACTAACGTAGTCATAAACGTTTAAATCAAACTCTTTCAATATGTCATTGCGGAACTTAACAAAACCTTCTCTTAAAATTCTTACATCTTGTTTGCAATAAAATGAGCTATATTTTTCTAAGTCGAAGTGGTTTTCATCTATTCTGCAACCTTTGATGGAATCTATGTTTTTCATGAACGT